AGAGGTGATCAGGTCAGCAGCAGGAGAGACTCAAAAGGGAGCCTCTTGGGAAGTACAGGCAGCCATGAGGGCCCGTTTCAGCTGCTCATAGGTGACGAACATCACCACGTTCCAGGAACCCAAGCGGAGAAAGGAGGGCATGAACCTAGGGGAGAGAAAACACAGGTCACAGGGGCACCGCCTCCCTCACTGAGCCTGGCATCCAATCCAACCCAGCTGCTCTGTCCCAAAGAAGGCTGGGAGACTTAATGAACTGAGCCTCACAGCTGTGTGGCGATGAGCAAGAACCCTCCCTGAGTCTCCATTTAGCACCCACAAAATAGCGATAGCAGCAACTCTGGAAGGAATTAAGAGTGAATGCTGGTGAAGGACCAGGACCACAAATAGTCTCAGCTTGGTTGCTACTCACTTCCAGGTAGTCCTCTCCCACTTGCAGGATGGGCCTGGAATTGGGTGGGGTGGATGAGAAGCTCACCCTTTGTAGAAGGCCTGGGGCCCCTCCTTCTGGAGCATGGTAATGGCACAGTGGCCAGCGCTGCTGTACTGGCCCAGGGCAGAGTTCATATATCTCGTCTTGACCACATCGACAGGGGAGGCGATGACGGTGGTGCAGAAGCCCGCCCCGAAGGCAGAAGTGAAGTGGCAAGGGAGGTCATCTGCCAAGAAGGAACAGGCACGGCAGTCAGGCTCCTCACTCATCATCCCAGAAGGGAAGTACTTAAGTAGCTAAGAGTTCTCATGGTTTTAAAGATTCAGAGACTCAGTTGGGACCTTAGCTGGGACCTTTTCTGGGGGCCTAAGAGTCATTTTGCCAATCTAGCCTCAGTTCCTCAACATGCAGAGTGGGCGCTTCATTCCAGCTGGCTTCAACATGGCAGGTAAGAGGTATGATCTCACTCTATGCGAAGGGCAAACAGGATGAAAAGACGGAGTCTTCAGGTGTCAAGGAGACTCCCACACCTGCTCCTGGGTTGGGGAAAGGGCAAGACCCAGCACCATCTACCCCAATTCACCCGTCATGAGGTTGGCTTTCAGGAGGGTGTCCTTGATGAGGTCATAGGTCACCAGCTCAGCACAGTTGACAATGGCATTACGAGCAATATTGGGAGAGGTCCCTATAGGAGGAAGGAGAGCCTGTGTGAGACCAGGAAACAGGGGAGGAAGAAAATGGGACAGGAAAACAACTGGTATACACACCCTTCCAGAGTCCCCGGAACCCTTCCTCTCGGGCGATGGTCTTGTAGGCATCGACAGTGCTTTGGTATCTCCGACCACCTACAGCCCGGGCCTGAGCTTGAAACCGGACCTTCACCACATCTGTGGGCTGGGCCACAGCCACAGCCAGGGCACCTGTGGTGCTGCCTGCTAGGAGGCGGCTCCCGATGCTGGCATCTGTGGGCAAACCATGGAGGCCAGTGGTCAGCTGGTTCATACTTGTTTTCTACCTCATCCCTCCTCACCAAAACCACGTCACTGTCCTTTCCTGCTTTTGGGAATAAGATCCAGACAAACTCTCACTCCTAGAACTCCTCACAGCAAACAAAATATCATTGTGAATGTCTACTACTTGCTAGGGACAAAAGCAAGGAATAACAACAAATGGAGAAAGTGCTTCTTTCATAAAGCACTTTCATTTAACTCGCTCAACAGGCCTGCAAAATCAGAACCATTCCCATTTGACAAACGTGAAAGCCAAGGCTCAGAAAGAAGTGGCTTTCTGATGGACTGGGACTCCTAAGGCTTGGGTTCTCATCCTGGATCTGCTTCTCCCTGCCATGTGCTCTTGGGAAAGTCAAACTTTTTTCAGGCTCTCAGTTTCCTCACGTGTAAAATGGAATGTTGGCATGGCATGCTAAGGAGAGGAGATGGAAGAATGCTGACCTTTAAGGTAAGAGACCTGGGTGTGTTTTCTGGCTCCCCACTGTGCCCTTGGCCAAGTCCTCCCAATCCCCACTTCAAGCCTCAGTCTCTTCGTCTGTAACACTGGGATGATAGATACCACCTTCTCCCCAAGGTGGTGGTGAGGACTGTCACAGGATAATGTCTGCTCAAGCCTGGCATAGCCCAGGTACTCAGGAATCACATGGAGAATCAGGGCCCCTTCTAGTTCTCTGTTCCTCCTAGGGATCATGGGGCCTGAAGGAGCTGTTTGGTTAATGAACTAAGATCACTCATCACCAAGGAAAAAAGGCCAAAGGGCCTGTGGCCCAGCTCCATACTCACGCTCAGAGCCCTTGGTGTAGAACTGCTTGACAGAGTCATAGAGGCCGATGCGGACAGAGGCGAAGCTCATCTGGCGCTGCAGGCCGGCAACCAGTCCGTTGTA